AAAAACTTAAGTCCAGTGTCGCAGTAGATACTGGCACGAAAAAGATTCTTTAGTGCTCAATGGCCTGAAGTGCCTAGTACATGTCTAAATTTGGATCCCTTCACCAGACAAATGTTCAAATAAATGTTGTTGTCACAGTAATTATCAAAAATATGAAAAAATAAATAAATATTGAAATAATCTTATGAAAAAAACTTTCCAGTCGGCGCGTTTTAATTGGGTCGGTCGCGTTAGGGGAAACAAAGGTATTTTTTATTTTGGCCTCGGTGTGACTTCTGTGACTGAAACATAAAAGTTAACTTAATGTTCCGCATCTATTCCTAATTATAAATGTCACAGAAGTTTGCAGTTTATTCGATAATCATGATTTGAAATTGCCATTGAAGAAATAAAAAGGTGATTAATAATTTCTACACTTTGAAATATTCCCCTTATTTAAAGTCCGAAGTCTGTAGTCCATTGTCCGCTATTCCGCAAATGTCCTATAGCCCGGCCCTCACTTACACCAGAATCCCTGACCCAGGGGCCATGAAATTCATAATTTTGGAACTGGCACCCTTGCTCATAATAACAACGCAGATAGTTTGGTTGCTTAATACCCAGGAGAGGGAAAAAAGGATTTTCAAAGAAATAATGCATCTTCACTATATAATCAATAGAGCAGCCCAACCCTAATGCTTCACCCACAAAGGATGTCTGCACTTAACAAAGGGGTTTGGGTCTTTTTCGGTCGCTTTTGTCGTTTTCATATCTTAACCTAATTTACACTTTTGTATTTTTACTGGAGAATTCTGTCAATTAGGTACCAGATTTATATGTTAAAATGGTTTTAAGCTGTGATACAATGATTTTTTTGTCTTTACTGCTTTCCAAATGTATAGAATTTACACTTACCTGCCCTTCATTATGTATGCATGAGAGGTGAAACTAACATTGTAAGAATGGGTCTAAAATTAGACGAGATAAATAACAATGACATGTATACAAAATAAGAGATCACTCTTTTCCATCTTTCTCTTTATTATGTATGGCACAAGTACACTCTTTACAAAGGTTTCAAAAATAATTAACAAAATGAGCACGTCCATGGTAAAGAATATTTTAAATCGATGTCTGTCAATTTAACGTGTTCGAGCACAGTGTCCTTAGTTAGCACGGCACATACTACACTGTACCTGAAAAGTCACGTGGCGGAATTTAGTATTCATAGAGTTAACTAAGGTAAGAAATCACGTGATGAATTATAATATTCAACATTTCACAGCCCTTGGTAGTGCGAAATATCTTACGTTTTCCTGTTTTTTTTTTTTTTTTTAATAAATATTTTGATATTTTACGTGCCAGGAAAACGCCAGAACTGGCGCCATTACGAAAACTGAGAATTCGCCGCCTCCAACCGGAGGCGGCGTTCTCGGGTTGATTTTCGATACTTGCGAACCGAATTAAATGTCAAACTCCCATATTATCAATAGTACAATACTTTTAGTACTTACCAACATCGTTTTTATGGTTCGTTTATAAAATATACAATCCGATGAAAACATTTTATCTGACTGTCAAGATTTGTTTTCATTTCGTGCATTTTTAATCTTGCAAGTCCTGTATCGAAATGTGGAGTGTTGTTTTCTTTTCATCGATATTGGCGAGTACTAGAAGCATTGTGCTATCGATAAATTGTGAGTTCGTTATTTGTTTAATTCGGTTTGCAAGTATCGAAAATTAACTCCGGTTGGAAAAGGCGAAATTTCCAGTTTTCGTAATTGCGCCGGTTCTGGCGTTTTCCTGGCATATAAAATATCAAAATCGTGAAAAAAAACCCTGCAACACGTCAGATATTTCAGACTAAGCCCTTGGTTACGAGAGAGAGAGAGAGAGAGAGAGAGAGAGAGAGAGAGAGAGAATGCCAGAAGCAGTTTTTTTCTCTTTTAAATCATGAGCGCATGTTTGTCTATTAATCTCCTTTTGACATAACATTAACGAAAATATACAACTACTGTTAAACGGCGAACCATAGTCAAAAATGCGCTGTGTATAAAGTCAGTAAAAAAGTGGGCGTCCTCATTATCGTACGGAGATTCAAGAAATTGTGATGACCACCGCCTTTGAAAAGATTCGTACTTCGTAAATATATAGGTATTTTTATTTAATGTTATTACGTAAAGTTGTACATTAGATGTTGATCATCCCTGCAATTAAAATAAAAATGCTTCTTTTGAAAGTTTCTTTTGTCGCAAATTTCGTATGGCCTTAATTGCAGTCAACCTTTCACAATTTTGGAAGAGCCATCCTTCCTCGTCATATTCATGCATCTAGTTTATCTGCTAAATATACAGGGGGAGAAAAGAGGATTTTAAAGAATTATGCATATTCATTATATGTCATTAGAACCCCGCCCTAACTCAAGAACCCCTGACCCTGGCGTCATGAATTTCACAATTTTGGAAGAGGGTTCAAAGCTTATTACAATCATGCCAAAAATTTGACTGCATGATGTTTAGGAATAAAGATTTTGACAGCACTAATTTTGAGGATTTTAGTCCATCCCTCGGGCCCCAGGGATCGTGAAAATGATATTTTTTTGTACCCCTTCACCCATTTATGTTATATGCCAAAATTGGCTGAAATTAGTTCAGTAGTTCAAGAGAAGAGGCTGAAAATGCTCAAAAGTTTACGACCGAACGACGCACAACACACGTCGCACGACGACATACAAAGACAGATAATAGGTCACCTAAGTAAAAACTCTACCGGGGAGGGGGGGGGGGGGGCTAGGACAGTTCATTCATTTTCTTGCCAGCCGAGGACAGATTATATGTTTTTCAACATTTTCGAGGACAGGTTATTTCCAAAATATGCCAGCCCCCCTCTTCTCAGAATCAAATGGTCGTTCCCTAACCATTAATACAAGATTTTTGAAGTGTCAGATAGGAGCTTAAATCAATTTCAGTTTTGACATCATTACAACCCTTGTGTTCCTATCTCATGTGACGATTTCTTTAAATAGTAGAGTACAGGTTAATTTGTAACAAGGAAATACCAAGTCAAGGTCATGAGTAATGAAGTCCACTGATTCCACTCTCGCTAAAATGTAAAGGGATTTTTTTTTTAAAGGGAATAAAAGGAAGAAGGTGATAAGATTCGTCTTATCGCTATTACTAGTGCCTTTCACTAATTTACAATTTTCAATTGTTAATCAGTACACGAATAATTATAGTCATGTGCTCATTAACAATTGAAAATTGTAAATAAATGAAAGACACTAGAAGTATTTGTATTCACCATCTGAAATGTTGTTTGTTGGGATCAATCAAAATCAACCACATGGTTTTCGATGCAGTGTATCCTAGCTCAGATTTTTGTTCACTAATGAAATTTGCAGATGATAGCAATCATGGACCATCGACAGCAAAGGCATTTACTAATTTCTAAGTCAGAGGACAATATTGATTGATGGTGGTATTTGATCAATTTCATCATGATTTACCTTATGTGAAGTTATTAGTAACAAAAAATGCGTCTTCCTTCTTGCAGTGATTCATTAATCATTGCAACGGCATATGTCAAGGCCAAAGTCAACTGCAACTGCGGTTTTTGAAATCTACTTAAATATGAAACTTAGTTGATGATCAGGTCACCATGATTGAATGGACATAATAATGAATAAACGTTTTTCAGGGTTAAAGGTCAAGGTCTACTCTGTAGGCTGGGAATTGAAACATCCTGTTCCGATTTGAATAACATCATCCTTTTTTCGATCTCCTCTGGAAAGTACGTGCCTTTTGATTTTTATTTACAGCAAATAAATTTGGAAAAGAAAAAAAATTCATATAAATATTTCGTATACAAATTTAAACAAAAAAAATCTAATTTTTGTAGAGGACACCATTCCAGTTGGAATGCACTTTCCGTTGTTAGGCCTAGTATATAATTACATGTAACTGCGTCCACTCTGGATAGCACTGTAAATTATTAGTTATCTGAAGATTCTTCATTAAAGTAGTTGTACTTTGATCCATATACAGATCCACAGAAAGTTACTACATGTACACTGGACAAAATGGCTAACGCACCACCAAAGAAAATTGAAAGATAATTCATTCCTCAAGTTAAAAATTGTTGCTAATAGATTAAAAAATATATAGATCATTAGATGTTTATTATAGATATCCACGGCATTAAGCAAGCATCACACGACGATTTCAAAATTGTTCATTAAATTGGGATAACCGGAAGTTGGGTAGACTGGGTATGGACACCAAGGCACTGGATGACTACTAGGTGATATGATAGTCAATCACTGTATGTTATTTGAATATTAACTTGGGAGACTGCTTCGGACCACCATCAATAATCACTAACTTCACATCTCAGCAAAAACAGTGCGCAGAACACGTCGGTAAAAGACATCCCCTCCTCCTCCCCCTTTTTCCGTGCTTCTGTTGGTTTGAATTTCATTGCCAATGCATCAAATTCTTTTGAAATTATATATTTAGACAGAAAATGACTTACTGTTGATTTACTTTATCGAGCGAAATGCATGAAACTTGCAGAACACCATAACAAATAGATGAAAGTAACACTCTCAAAAATTATTTATGCACAAATAATTTTAAAAATTTAGAAATTAAAAAAAAAAAAACTCCTAAAAAAAAGCAGATCATGACAAGGTCAATGATCTTATACATGTATCTACACAATTTTTCTGACCGGGAAAATTGGTTTTCGGGCAGGAAGGGAATGGGTCTTGTAATGACACCCAAGACATTTTTCAATCCCACGGTATTTGAAAAGATAGCACATTATATATACTATAACCGATTAGGCAAATTTTCAATTCACAACAAGTGATACGTTAGCAATTTTATCTTGTGTATATGTTTCTGTTTGCTTTCGCGAAAGGCTCACAGTCTCCAGTACTGAACATAATATTTCACATCTTCAAGCAATGACTTACCTGTTTTCCTCATAAATTGTTATGTTTTTCTTAGCAAACACAAAAGGAATGTTTTCTACAATTTATTTTATAACAAAAGCAATGATACAATATAGCACTAAACACAACTGACCACCAAGTGACACGTGACACGATGTTGTCCAATCACAGTACTTTTTAGAGTTGCTTTAGCAACTTGCATGTCAACAATGAGAATGAAGTCTTAACTTGGTTAAGCACAGCTGCTGGGACAGATGACGAAGCATGGCTTTTGACTGTGTCATTAAAGCGTGTCGTTCAAAATGAGATTCCTTAAAGATTAATCACATATGGACAAGAGAAAAAGACAAATATCAAAAGTAGAAAATAGAAGACTTACAGATAAAATACAGAGTGCAAGTTTTGAGTTGAAAAAAAACTGATGTACAATCCATATCATTTCACAATTACATATTTGTAAGAATAGTACTTGATTTTCTGTATTGTCAGCAAGAATATTACAATTGAGCTTCAAGTCCTTGATCTGGTACTTTAAACGACGGGTCAAAATGATAATTTTTACTCTTGTGAACTAACAATTGGAAAATTACAAAAATTAAGTTGGATTTCCCTAAATGTGCCCCCTTAGACTTAGGTCTGGAACACAAAAAAATGTGGTCCTATAAACCCCTCCCCTTTTTTAAACCCCTCTTAGTTATTTTCATATCTCCATCGACAAATTAAAAAAACTTCCCCTCATTTTGTCCCTATGTAGCATTACAACTGTTCCAAAAGGAACACTAAAATCTTACTTAAAGTAAACCAAGTAGACATCGATTAATAGACATTCAACATAAAAATCCCACTTAAATTTAATTACTGTCATGTGATTCATGAAAAGATTGTAATGCCCTGCATAGTATTCTTCATCAAAATTCTTTAACATTATGTTGTAAATTAGCTGCTTCTGAAAGTTCATGAAATGATTCTTCATCAAGTCAACTACCCCCGCAGTTTGACTGAATGACATGCATTTTCTTTTGATTTGGGGCCGATTGGAAACCTACATTTGAATAAAAAATAAAATGTCTGAGCCAGACAATTTAAATAAATTTCGAATTCTGACTAAATCAAAATTAAACCTTACAGTAATGGGCCACACATGAATTAAATTTCAGCCATTAACAGACATGAAAGCGGAGGTATCAAATCGATTAGATTTTATTACATTATAATGTTGTACTATTTGCTTCATTGGCCACAGAACATTTTTATTCCATACTTCAAAATGTTATGCAATATAAATTTAATTGTAATATAAAATATTCATCAATTCCCACAATGAATGCAGAAATATAAACCATAAGAATTGACTTCGCTCTCTAGAGTTGATGAAAAAACTATTCAGGACGTGGGGTGGAGTGCATGGAAAAGAATACAGAAGTGATTTACAATGAAAATTTTACAAGCAGGAGCTTTGACAGACATAATATATATATAGGTCTGGGGATAAATGGGTCCGAACCACATGACACATCTCCATAACAACGGTCCCAGGACAAACATTGTAGGAGACTATTAAAGTTACTGGAACATTTTCCACCAATCACAACACAGAATAAATGCCACGTGACGTACAATAAAATGTGAGTTAAGTTGTCATACATAATGAAAACAGATCATAATTACCCTGCCTACGAGATCTTTCTGTCTTACACACTCAAAGTCTTTGGTATGCTAATTCCTCAAGTAAAATCATTCAAGTACAATGCAGATGAAATTATTCAGATACATTACACTTCAACAAGGAAATACATCGAACACTGTGATAAAAATTACACAGAGATTACATACACACCGTCATTTTAATGCCTATAATTGGCAAAAATGTTATGAAAGCTTTGTAAATGTTTATCTTGTTTAACAAAAATATGATTCATAAACCAATTATCATTGGGACTATGTTGTGAA